TCTAAATCTTTGTATTGTAGATTTGCATTTTGAGCAGGTGAAAGTATTTCTTTTTCCTCAACCAGTCTTTATGTATGTTTCACAGTGTTTTACATGTGCTTTTATATGTTGAAGTTGACTTTTTAACATCAAAATGTATCTCTAAATCTATCCAAATCTAAGCTTAAGCAATATTTTGTGTAAAACTGAAATTAAGTCTGTCTTCATTTGTGAAAGAAAAGAACAGGTGTATTATGCAGACCCACTCATTCCTTGCTCCCATAGATATATCTTGTTATGTAAAAAACTAAGAGCAAAAATTTTCAAAAATAGAAGCTTTTTGAGTCAACATCATCCTTTAAAGTGGCAATGGACATCTTTAAAAATGAGCAATATTTGATTTCCTGATACAATCATGTTAACTGAACAGTTAAAACAGGCTGTTTTGACAATCCCATTAAGTCTTTTCTGGTCCTACACAAGTTGGACAGAGACCCTAAATTAATATGATATTCAGCTGGTTTTGCATACACCAGTAGGGTTTATACAGTGAATAGCTTTGTTACTGCACCATTTTTTTTCCCTTGTTTTTATACTGAAGTCTTTATTTACCATATCTTCCTCTCTGAAAATATAAAGATGAACAGTTCATGGTTTTTAAAAAGGTGCTTACATTGGAGACCAACAGACCCATGACTGTTTGCAAGCTTTTCGTATCATTCAAGAGCACCTGAAACTAAGATAAAAAGTTATTGTAGATTTTTGTCAGTCACAATTAATAGTAATGATTTATATGGAACAAAAACCTTCGCCATCTTCAGCAAAAGACTCCCAAGTAGTTTTTGGTTTTAGCAGTAATGATGAGCACACCCAGAAAGACTGTAAAATTTTTACAACAAAGCTCTATGTTTTAATTGCAATACATAGAAGAGATTTAATTAAAATATATTCCTTCTCAACATTTACAAATACCAGATTTATCACCATAAAAATCACATAACAGTTGTGCAACTTGACTCACACAGAAAATGAATCAATCTTCAGTGATATATTTTCTCTGCATACTTTCATGAAACAATTGCATGTGCACTTATCAATGTGTAATCTACCTGGGATTTGAAATGAATGCAGCACAGAAATGTAGTGGAGAGTTGATAATCACATCTTCACCTATGAGATCTCACTATTGTTTAGTAACAATCTCATCTGGTACCTTTATATTCAAAGCAAATTCCCTGTCATCCGGGAACCAGAAAGCAGAATTTCCCAATGCTCTTTACCATCCTTGCTGTCCAGCAATGATCAGATCACAGCTTGTCCGATACCATTCTGAAATTCATGGAGAAGACATCTGGTTTTATAACCTACCAAAGTGAATTGTAGGGGGTTTTTCTCTTATAGGCCAAATTATCAGTTAAGACAGTTTTCCTTTACACTAAAAGAAGGAAAAAAATGCTATAACTATTAAAAAAAAATTACATTACTAGCAGGCAAAACAAGTTCTTTTTCTAATATAAATGTGCAGAGAGGTAAGGGAGAACAGTGAACATTGTCATTCTTGCACAGGATACACATATGATCAGAAATACTGACTTTAAACTGAAACACTCCTTTCAGTGAAACTGGTAGGAGATGGGGCATTCAGGTGCATTAAGTTGACTGGACGGAAAAGCAAACTGTGCAATGGACTATACTAATTCTGGCTTGGCTTGACTCCCATGTTTGCAAACCTATTCATTTCTTCTTACTTGGCATGAACTACAAGGTGCTAATCTAATTTACCAAGAGGAAAAAAAAAAAGATGCATTTTCCATAATTAGTTTATATTAACCAACAGTTTGCAGTATATTGCAAGGCACAGGAGCATCATTTTTCTGTAAGTATAGGTAATTTTCTTACTGAACATCTGAAAATCTGCCCCAGCAAGAAAAGGCAAAGTTTAGATTATCTAACAAACCTTTGTGAGGAGAAAAATACCAGAATTGTACAGAAGCACTGAGGAAATGTCAGATGAAGTGTAATCACTTATATGGGTAAGAATACTTGATCAATGTACATTCAAGAATATTGAAACTTCTACCACATCACAACAGGGTCTTTTAGTAAATCTACCAAGCATAAGATCTTGTAGTAAAAACACATAGTAGTGAACAACTTGTGTGCATTTAAGAAACAGGAAAAAAGAGATTTCTTCATCAGCAAGACTTTAGAATATAATTTTGATTAAAGACTAAGTGCCAATATGGAGATAAACTGAGACCTAATGCAAAAGGAATTTACTAAAACTTGGTTGTGTCTGACTAACCTGGCAACCAGTTTTTTGCGCCAAACAAGCTATGTTTATTTAATCAATCTAGATTTCAGGTAGACACTTCACAAAATGCCAGTTATAATTAAATCACTTCCATGTTTCCTTGGAGGAGACAGTGCTTAGCACAAAATATAGAGGAATGGATAGAAAGTAGATAAGCAGTTCTACTAAAAGAACAGTTTCTGGACTGAAAGGGTAATAAGTCTTCTGTGTTAGTGTAGTTGTCTCCAGACCAGTGGAGGGCTGGTCAGTGCAGCTAATGGAGTCGTATCATACCAAGCATGAAACCTGAAACAGCCAGAAACAATTCCACAGCAATAGCAGTGGAAGAAATACACTTAAGTGTACTAGTCAGTCACTGGAGATAATATGATATTGCTGTGAAAACAAAAGTAAAATCATGGGGCGCAATCCATCAGAGAAAATTCTGAATGAAGCAGGTGACCTAGTGACAAAGGGCACAAACAAGCTCAGGTACCGGTGTGCTCTTTGCTGGTCTTTACTGGTAAGGTCTGTGTGCTATTTGCTCGCGGAGGCTTGCAGTAACAGGGAGCTGGACTAGACGACCCAGAGATTCTTTGTAGTTCCATGTTTTGTTTGCTTGGAGGGACAGAAAAGCACATTATTTTTGAAAACCACTTTTCAGTGACCTGGTAAGAGTTGGCAGAGAGCGGGCTCCATAGAATTCCAAGTCTTTGGGAAGGAAGGCTTTTCTGAGCAAGAGTGATGGCATATTCATTCAGTATATCCAGAGTCTTCCAAACTATGTTAGAGCTCATAGAAAAGTATACAGTATTTTTAGCCTAAACCTTTTCATGGTCAACTGGGTTTACCTATTCCATTCTAAATGGGTATAAAACCAGCCTCTTTTAAATAAAATAGAACCTCTTATTTTGGTGTCTGGTGCCAACATTGGATTGGATCAGCTTTGTCAATGTGTTTGAGGAAAGTTTTCATCTCAGTGTGTCATAGTATGTATTCTTCACATCCTGTTGTTCTTATACTTTCTTAATGTGGTCCCAACTGTGCCTATTCATTTACGTGTGCGCAAATAAAGGTAGTGCTTGGTTGGTGACAGACTGCTGGAAACAGGGCCTTTGAGTGTTAGACCTGGGCTATAAGTGGTGATCCTACTGTGTCTATCTACAAAGCCCTCTCCCTAATACTGAGCCCCATCCTCGATACACTTAGGCACAGCAAATCAGGTAAAATATCACTGGCATCTTAAAATTCTTTTGCCTCTTGCAACCTTGAAAGAACCTTTGCATTAAGTTAACATACTGTACATACACAAACTTAATTTGTTCTTTTATTCACTGTTGAGACACTTCCTAGTCCCAGAAAAGCGGGGAACCCAACAAGCCTTAAAGCACAGGAGCATCACTGTGCTGATGTCTAGAGAGGATTTTTATTGCATGGTGATAGTATAGTGCCACTATGTATAGTGCTGACTAAAAATGAATCAGTTTTAACCCCAGACTAAAGCAGGGATCTGCCCAACTCTGCAGATTGTGAGGTGTCCACTGATGGACCTGGGGCGTATCTGTAAGTCAGTCACTAAAATACAGTTTCAGCCATCTGTGGTCCCTTCCCTCCTGAGGAAAGAAGGCAACTGGAGACTATGAACAGTTTGCTGAAATAAACCTACTCATTCCTTTTTGTCTTTTGGGGTTCACAACAAGCTGACAGTGGCCAAAAGCCAATCTATAGGCCAGAGTGCAATCTGTACGAAAGACCATTCTCGTTGATCACTGTCCTGTTTTGGGTGATGAGCCTAAAGCATCTCTGAACATTCAGACAAAGTGATAGTCAAAATGGACAACTTCTTAGTCCTCTAACTGCTTCACTTCATACAATTTGAAATTTTATTCAGAATTTCTCTTCTGTATTTTGAGGGCATCAAGACCCAAAGCAATGGGCTATTTCATGTGAAGCTAAGGACATTTTTGTAAGAAGCTGACTTTTAAAAAACACTGTGTTCCTGAACTTGTGTATTCCAGGGCAGAATATATGCTTACAGGCAAGTTACACAGGCATGTGGAAGCACAATTTTAATGATTCATAAAGCTGTTGAGACTTTAATTGAGGAGCATTAAGGTGTTCATGTTAATGATGTTAGCTTTCAATTTAAGCCCTAAGAGTCAGAGGCTTATAATGACAGCTTTTGTCAAAACTCTTCATTGAGGGTATTACCTGCAAGTGGAGTACTTAAAAGCTACATTACATAAAGAAACATGCTCGTTTATATCTGTATGTGGAACTAAAATGACCAGTAATGATTATGTATCTTTTCTAAGTTGGACTGATAATTTTTCTATGTATTTTTATCTCCCATTTCAGTTTATTCTCTTTGGTTTTTAACAAACTGCAAGGAAAACATAAATTTAAATGCCAGAGGTGGATGAAGAGCAGTATATTATGCAGTCAGTTGTAGGAAGAAGGCACCTTTATAACAGACAGACTGTTCTCTTGTAAATCTGTTCTAGTTTGGTTTAGTGTATTCTACTGAACATAATCATCCTCCAAGATACCTACATTTTCAAGTCTCCTCCTTTTCTGTGTACAACACATTGTGTCCCATTTGTTTCCACCAGCTCTAACCAGGATGCCATTAGTCATGGGCAATGAACACAAGGTGGGAGGGAAGATGGTGCAAATTCTCAAGACAAAGCCAAAATGCTTTGCTCAGTGTGATTTCCCTTTAAACCAGGTCCCGATTACAAGGAGCTGGATGTTCACCTTCGGAGAATGGAGTCTGGGTTTGGCTTCAGAATCCTGGGAGGAGATGAACCTGGACAGCCTGTGAGTTATTTCCTTCTGACTTTCCTTTTCATAACTCTAAAATCTGTGTAAAGGTCAGAAAAATATTACTCCATAGCTGAACCCAAATGAACACCACATTAAGGCTATACATAAAATGTCTTTTTTATTCATCCACAGAAAAAGACAAGACTCTCAGGTTGTTCGCATCTAAAAGATGTCACAGTAAATTCTGTTAGAATCAGAAGAAATTAAGTTAGAACCAGCCCTTTACTGTGGAGTGTGACCTGGCATTTTTTAATCCTGATTTTCCAAAACTGGGTTTAAGCAGAAGATTTTAAAAATCAGATTATGAAAGACTATGCATAACTGTATTCAGTGTAGGCAGACTATACATATGCAGAAGGTTAAAAGATACTGTTGACAATGCAGTCTAATTCCAAAACCACAAAAGACCCAACCAGGGAATGGTTGTCCATATTCCAGGTTAGATGATAAAGTCATGTGATGCATCAGGCATAAAAATGGTAGCTTTATACTGTTAGGAGGGAAACCCAACATAGATTCATTGCAGATGAATTAAAATATAGAATAAAATATATACACCATTTTTAAAAGAAATTTATACATTTTTTTGTAAATTAATTGTATATACATAAATACTATCATTTTGTGAGAGCAAGCAGAATTAGTACCCCTTTAGAATAACGTTGATGATGTAACTATGGTTTGTCAGCAAGAACTAATCCCAAACAAATAATTAAAACATTTTATTATCACAGCCTTATGCATAGACTGAGTCCTGAGTTACCACATTACTGAGATAATGTGTAAGTCGTTGATAGATTTATATATTCCATATTGAAATTTATACAGAATAATATAGTTGTCATTCAAGCATTAACATTAACCAACACATGGCTCTGAGAAACAAAGAAGCACGTCTATTTTGGAATTGTCAACATCTGTCAAAGTACTGATAATTATTAATAGTTTACTGATGCCTCCTGTAAAAGAAATAAATGCACTCTATTCTAAAAAAGGTGTTTCAAGTGATGATTGAAATGCAGGGGCCCTATTTTAGAATAAGTGTTCTGGAATGGATTTTCAAAGCTTAATAAGGTGTAGCTGTACAGAAGACCTTCAAGACCACTGAGCCACCATCTTCACATTTTCCACCTAAGCATTTTCCTGTCTTTCCTGGATGGCCCAGCCAGTATGGGTTCTCAAAGCTTGCCTACTGGGTGAAACCAAAAAGGATATCTGTTAGGAGCTAGAAGAAATGTCCAATTATATCCTGCAAATAATTGGCACTAGTGGAAGACTTGAAAATCCCCCTCTACCTGCTTCGGACTGTAGTGTCTAGTGGCATTTCCCACCTTTCAGGAAAGTGACCCTGTCTACAAGGCTGCTCAGTAATCTGGGAAAGTCTCTCCTGGTCTCTCCTTTAGTGCTTTTTTCATTAAAAATGTATGATTATGTAGTCACAGAGTGAATGTCTGACTGGCTCTACAGTTTGGAGGTTTATGATATTCTCATGGGGAAAAGTGCAGCTCAAATGCCTCATGTAAAATATGATTATTTATATAAAATTGAATGATTTCAGGCTAAAGAACTGCGACAAAACTGGTTTAGAATATCTAATATTCAGATGGCTAAGAACACATGCCACAGTTGTGGGAGCCCTGAATTTAGTCCCTGCTCAACAACCCAGCAGAGTGTGAATTTAGAAACTAGTCTTTTACCTCCCAGCTACATGCATTATGCACTGAAGTGTTACAGAGGAAACAGGTCTGTCAAGTTTCTTTTGAGCAAAGGATTGACCTGGCCTTACTGTCCGAAGTCAAAGAGTCACAGCTGGATACCAAGTGCAGGGATGACCACCTCTATTTTTGGAGAGCAGGACCAAAAATGATGCCTTCTGTGAACCACCTTCTAAGATGCTTTACTGTCCTGCTGAATCAGCCGGCACTTAGCCTCAAGGTTGCTATCTCTATTTCAGGGCTTGCAAATACAAAAGCATTTTTCCTCCAGATGTATCAGTCTAACAGACTTTATGTCTCTCCACAAACCATGTCTCAAAGTCCTCATGAATGAATAAGATTGTAGCTTGAGGCTGAAGTCCCTACAAGGTAAAAAGGCACCACCTTACAGATAGTTATTGCAGTGTACTTAGCCTCAAGGTTGCTATCTCTATTTCAGGGCTTGCAAATACAAAAGCATTTTTCCTCCAGATGTATCAGTCTAACAGACTTTATGTCTCTCCACAAACCATGTCTCAAAGTCCTCATGAATGAATAAGATTGTAGCTTGAGGCTGAAGTCCCTACAAGGTAAAAAGGCACCACCTTACAGATAGTTATTGCAGTGTAAAACTTCTCAATTCTCACTCCCTGTTTGTTGTCCATCTCTTGTTTCACTGCTTAAATTCATCACTAATAAAGAAGACAGAGGTGCTCCACTTTTTTTAGTTTCCATCTGTTTTGTATTCAAAATACAAGACTTCTTAACTTTGTTTTCTCTCCTTCACCACTTCCCTGCTCCCCCATGGACAGCCCACCCGCAGCCTCCCATTCCTTTCACCTCGAGAAAAGGAGAGGCAGTTTCTGCCTGTCCTCCAAACCCTTGCATTTCCTATGAAACAAGAACTGAGATGCTTTGATAAGTTTGATTCAGCTCTCCTGCTGTGCAGTCAGGTAGCACAGAACAAAAGGAAGCTTTCGTTGCCTTTTGTCTTTGTGGTTGGGTTCTAAAAAGGAATATGGATTCTTTGGCATAAGGCGCTAAGTTTTTAGAAGCAGCAGAATCCACGTAAAGTTTTTTTAGAAGGATAATACTGACGCTGTATAGCGACTGCACCTTAATTTCCTTTTAGTTATATCAGCTACCTGGCACCTTGGAAGGAGAAAGTGCTGCTGAGCTACTCTACTTCCCATATTTGTAAGCATAAAAATAGTTTCCAAAGGAAAGATGTAAATTTATTGAGAAATTTCTAATATCAAGACTGTGGGTTGTGCCACTTCCAATCACCTCTCAAGTCTCATGAGATCATGCCACCACAGTTATTTATCACGTCCCAGTAACTTGAGGAGTTACAGATAATCTGACCCTATTACCTTGAATTATAACGTCACTGAAAGATGGCAAATATATGTAAATTAGAACTTTACTGAAGTTGCAAATTGCTGTCCCAAAGTGAAGTATTTTGGCTACATTTGTGCGACTCAAAATCACAGGAACATATACATAATTACACTAAGAGTTTTACCTTTTCAACACAGATTGACTGGGATTCTTCTCAAAAATGCCTGCAAGATGTATGTCTATATTCCTTTTATGATCAGTGCCAAGAAACAGACATTACTAGACATATCAGATGTTCATAGAGCAAAATGTTAGGATAATGCAGACCATGCCTTAGGACCTTCTATTTTTAGCAGTGATTAGACAGAGTTCAGATGGTTACCTTGGATTTAGACCTCACAGACACTTAAAATTATGTGAGAATCACACCTATTATATGCGTTACTTAAATTTTACTGTGTGCACCTGTAGCTGTTATATTCAGAGAAACAGAAACACAAAGTCAAATAATTACCAAGAATCACAAAGTTACTCAGTATCAAAGCAGATAAACATCTAAGAGTTAATAGACCCAGGCTTCCATTTCAGATTATGCTCTGTCACAATCTTCCTAATCCCAGAATTTCTCCTGTTTAATCTCAAGGAATAGGTGAAAATTTCCCTTTTCTCTACAACACACTCTTTATTGCTTGCATGTCCTTTTCCTCACACAATCAAAGCATTCATGCCAGTATGAAACTGTATTACAGAGGTAATATAATTCTGATAAATACTTTTCCAATTTGTGTTTTGCTTGTAGAATTTATAACTATTATGGAAACTACTTAGCCATGAAATGAGAGCAGATACTGGATAAGAAACAGGTTCAGACACAGAAAAATAGAAAGAAGGAAAATTAAGTTATTCCTGCTATTAAGTAGACCCGGTAACAGACATGGTGGCCATCATCTTGACGAACACCTGAAGTGTTTAAAGTAGGACTCTGCTGCATACGTTAGTAGGCAGTTCCATCACTGAGATGAGTAACACAATAACAGTCCACTCTGGACATGTTAAGTATCAGCAATAATTACTTAATTAGTCAAAACTTGAAGGAGTTTTTGCACTTTGCGGTAGATACTGATGGCCTATCATGCTGTGAGCTGCATTTGTCTTTCTCCAAAGGTGAAAGATGCACAAATTGTTCAATACTTTGGCAGCCAAGTATAAAGAAACTGAAAATGCTCAATAAAACCAAAGGAGGAAGACAGTCCTTACAATCTTCCAAGCTGCAGAGGGTTACCACCCATCTCTGCCCAAGATAACTAGGAAATAATTCTTACTCATATGAGATACCCAAATATAAAGGTTTTGAGAATACTTTGTGGAGATCTAGCTAAACGTAGCTTTGGACAGCTTGCTTTCGGTCCAGTAAAGGAGCATAAATACCCATCTCATAGTTGGAATTTTGCACAAAGTATTTACCAAAGCTTTGAGGTATGTTCTTTCACCGTTTGAAGAACAGAATGGAGAACCTGAAAGAGTCTCTCTGGCAACTCAGCCTGGCACTGCTTAACAGGTTCCCAGGAACACCAGGAAGCAGGAAAACGTGTGTTCTCTCTTTGCTAACTTTTGAAAGCAAAAGTGAGCCAAAGGAAGACTAGAAACTGGGGGAAATTCTCCAGGCTCCACATGGGGTTTCATTTAAACATTCTGCTGGGATATTTGCAATTCTGCAGCTAAGACCATGGAAAAACAGAAAGACCACCTGTGTAACTACCACATCTAGCCTTTGCAGTTCATCATGAAAAGCAATACTTGATAGCTTTTATCTTTTATTATTTAAAGCAGATTGTCACACGGCATGTCATACCCATCTTTCTGTGCTCACTCACACACTGAACAAGAGAAAGGAAAATTTGGAACACACTCTGTGAATGCTTTAATACTCTTTCAAAGAAAGCAGGTTTTGTTTGAATCAATTTCAAATGTTCTACCAGTTATTCCACAGGGAAAATATATACATCTTCTTCTAATAAATTATGTGAATTTATGTGCATAGAAAGTGAAGAAAGTCATTAAAAGATGTTGAACAGATTTTTTACTAGTTTATATGTCCCATACAAATTACATTTAAATGTCGATTTGGGAAAACAACATCTGCCCAGAGTAATCTGAAATTTTTTCTCTTTTTCCATTTTGCTAATCGACAAATAACTGATCAATTATTCACTCTGAGTAACAGCATTTGATACAGCGTTTCTTTGCCCTTAAAGAGTCCCAAAGCAAACTCCATGTAGTGGTGTCACTTTCACTACTGACCTCAAGTGTTATTACTCCAGTAGCTTACACCACACAACAGTGATGAACCTCAGATAAGAAATATGTAGATTAATCTTAAGTCAAAAGGACCCTTACATGGAAAATAATCTGGTTAGATCTTCTGCATAATGTAGTTTATATAAATTCAACACGCCTCATAGGCAAATTGTCTGGATTTGAAGATATTGGGTAGATCATCCGTAGATCAGGATTCTCAGGTGTATCACTTCTATGCAGGTAGGGCACATCTTACCTTCTTACCAAAGGCAAGGAAGCATCTTCATTTGCACACATGCACACATCTCTTTATCTGCACTGAATCACTAACTTAATTTCAACAGAAGGGGAAAATCACTGCATTAAAAGGGAGAATGTGTCTGTGTGTGTGTTCAGTGTATATATGACAGGATTTTGTTTCTTTACTGCCTAGATTCTCATCGGAGCAGTAATTGCCATGGGCTCAGCAGACCGAGATGGTCGTCTCCATCCTGGTGATGAGCTGGTGTATGTAGATGGGATTCCAGTGGCTGGCAAAACCCACCGATATGTGATTGATCTTATGCATAATGCTGCCCGAAACGGGCAAGTGAATCTTACTGTGAGGAGAAAGGTGCTACCCACAGGTGAGTGAAGGCTGGGAAAGGTGAAAGGAAAAACATCTCAATGCTGGCAGCACAAACAGGCATCGTTTTTAAAAAAACAGAGAAAATTAAAATCAAAGTGAATTTTTATGTCATTTAAAGAAGGATAATCGTGAATTATCCTCATTTCTGTGACAAAAACACAGCTGAGTGTTGTTTCCTTTAAAAGTGGAAACAATATTGGCAACCCCGGTGTGGTGACCATGAATGCTCTGGACTTGTTCCATGCTGTCTTTGTCTGCGCTGTCTCCTCCTGTCCCCTTTTGGGAAAAATGTTCACCTAAGTTAAAGCTGTTCAAGCTGACCATGTCAATAAGCAATCAGAGAAAGGCTCAAAGACTGTTAACTGTTTAGGGCAGGAACTCATTTCACTCTTGTATGTGTTAAAAGCCCATTTCTGGTCTCACTGATGTCACTGGCAGTTTTGCCCTCTCACTGCAACACAAGCTGGCTGAAAACCTTCTGCATGGCACAAGCGGCCCCTAGGAGCAGGACTGGGTCCTCACTTGGAACAGACACTTTCAGAAAATAAACCTAAAACAATATGAAGAATCTGAAGTAAATGAAACCTTTAGACTAGCTCAGTCTCATTTACTGAAGAACACTGGAACTTGGAAAAATGTTGGCAGCATCTATTAAAGCTTTAATGTGAGAATTTGCTGCTGTTCCATTGCCACCTTTGCTTACTCAAGGAAAGAAGTTTATTTAAGAACTTGTAAAACATTTGTGGTGAGTATGAGACACCAGAAATGAGCAAAGCCACGTTCCCAGCCTGTCCTGTCTTCTGCCTCTGCGTGCCCTAGATCCACTGTCGTTGCCTGCGCAGTTCCCCTTCGCTCCCCTGCCAAAAAGCCGCCCTCCCACTCACCTTCGTCTTCGCAGTCCCCCTCCCACTGCGGCACCGCAGCTCCCTGCCTGCCACGCTCCCATGGGACTGACTTTCTTCTGTTACTGACTCCAGAGTCCTCCAGCCAGAAAGGTCCCCCTCCGCCCGGCGCGACGCCCCCTCGCAGCTCCCCCAGCGCTAGGAAAATGGCCAATAACCAAGGTAATCCGCTGAGCGCTTGCGATTAGCACCTTTCCTGGGTCAGCTGGCTGTACAGACTGCAGGCAAAATTAGCGAGAGGGTTAGCACAGAGTGCTAACCAGCCTCCACTGCTGCTTGTTAAATATTAAATAAAAGGGTCTATTAGACACCCTGGTCTTTTGGCACAGAGAATGAAGCAAGCTGGTAAAACACCTGGAGTTATTCTTTGGCCTTGAGAGTGCCACACTGGGGAGTATAATGTGTAACTCATTAATGTTTAAGCATTTCAGGAGCTGAACAGGATTTTAATTTGGTGTATTACAGCATAAGCTTTGTGGAAAAATTTTTAAATGACTGATGTTGGGCATGACTAAAAAAAGCAACACTAATGCATCAGGCCAATTGGTCTTGTGTGAATTTTTCACTAGCGTGAATGTATAACACAGAGGGATCTGGAAGTTTTCTTACCTGCCTGATTGCTGAAGTACGCATCTTAACCCTTGCCTGGAATCACTGTTTTACTTACCCAGATCTGGAAGGGAAAATCACCGTTCAGAAGCTATGGAAAACAATTTGATGAGGAAAATGTGACTAGGAAAATTCAGAACATGGATTAAAATGCCATTTTTTTTACAGGCAGAAGCAAAATGTAATTTTTCTGATCAATATCTATTGCGCAGATGACAATCGAATAGCCATTTAAACTTTTCCTCCTTTATCTTTCCTTTCCTATACTTAATTGCATTCAGTTGCATTCATTTATTGCCAAGCCAGTTCTTGGTCATTCTGCAGGGTAAGATAATTTCCTTTCTGTTGCAACCATACTGACATAAACAGTATTCAGTTTTCTGAAACATGACAGCCAGAAAATGAGATCTCTCTTGTCACTGACTATGGCATTTAGTTGCAGATTTGATTCAATAACTCTTGGAGATTTTCAATTCTAATGCAGGAGTATAATAATTGTTTGTTTTTCTTCCTCTTTATTCTCTCTAATCACTTTATTTCATAGTTGCAGAAGGACTGCTAAAGGACACACCTGACTGAGAAAACAACAGCTTGTCCTTGAATGATGTTTATTTTATTAATATATACACATTGAAGGTCTAATCTGCAAGCTCTCTTCCTAGGATGTATGTGTGTATGCATAAGCTCTTCACATGTTCAGCAGAATGAGTCTGCCACTCATTGCTTCGACCAGAAAACATATTATTTACATTCATCTGGAAGTTCTGTATTAAAACTGTCAATGAATACTGATTTGTGTAAACATCTTAGGACTGTGAGGAATATAGATTTTTTTCCCATCTGGAAGTGTAACTTTACTGTTTTCAGTTGCCAAAATGCTTCTACAAAAGAAGTGCGTAATCCCACAAGATGTAACATGTTCCCTGCTCTTGTTACTATAAAGCAATACTGAAGTGTGGATGGACTCTATTGTCACTTCTGCCCCTTACAACTCGCCACACAAGAGCATCTTCAAAACTTTTAAATGAGCACTGCTTCTATCACGACACCCACAGAAAAACTATTTGTGATTATTTTTCACTGTGTTCCATGAACATCTTTTGACCATGCTAATCAACTTGTATGAAGAACATTATGTAGCTAATCCTAATACCTCTATGTTAGCTGCCTTCTTAAATTCTTTTAATACAAACACAAATAATTCTGTATTGGATTAGATGGTGACATTTTCCTCTTGATGACAGATCAACCAACAGACAAGGCAATACTGCTTGCTTACAATTTTGCAATCCAGATAGCCACAGTTTCTTACTTTCCTTTCTTCTCTTTTAGATAGTTTAGCAGTGAGCGTTCATGCTTGCTTTATCTGATTGCCCTTGAATGTTTTGCATAATTGTGTAGATTCCTGTCTCTCTGCATCTATTACAGCTCCTAGTTTAATACTTGGGGTAGTCTGGGCTATAGACAGTCAACTGTATTCATGTTGCATTAGCAAATGTAGTGTAAGTCACAAAGCCACTGAGCAAGTCCAACTAATACTGATGTGATTTATATTGTAGGAGAACCGTGCCCAGAGAATGGCAGAAGCCCAGGCTCGGTGTCTACACACCACAGTTCTCCAAGAAGTGACTACACTACTTATGCTAACAGTAATCATGCTGTCTCTAGTAGCAATGCTACACCCCCCGAGGGCTTCACTTCTCACAGCCTGCAAACCAGTGATGTTGTGATCCACCGCAAGGAGAATGAAGGCTTTGGCTTTGTTATCATCAGTTCCCTGAACAGGCCTGAATCTGGGTCGACAATAAGTAAGTAAATCACATTTTTGATCTTATATTTTTCCAAATTCAGCCCTGATAAAAAAATAAATTAATTAAAACCTGACACCTGCTAATAATCACTGCACAGATAAAATCTGAAGGGACTCAAAGTTTCTTCCAGGGGCACCACTTACTGTATCGTCTTGGACAAAACCAAAGTTTTTTCTGGTCTCTGAGGTTCTGTGCTTCACACACCCATTTGGCTGTCAAGACTACAACAGGATTCACCCACAAAGTAGATTTCCTCTGTTCCTACGTGCCAGAGACACTCTGAATGTAACCACCAGGGTTATGTGAATGAATTATTTCTCCACATGCAACTGAGTTACACTTGTTATTTGTAATCAAGATGAGGTTCAAGATCTTGCTGAGATCACAGAAAACCCTGTGACAGCAGCTGTCCAGTTAGGGCACTTGCAGAAGCAACTGGAAAAACATGAGAAAACTGGTTAGACAGAGGCCCAGGGATGTTGATTATTGGTTGGTAATTAGCTGGACCATATATAGTATAAAAGCTATGACTGAGTACAGGGAAATGGCCAATATAGTGACAGGATCTGCCCTTATTAATTGTAGTTCACTTTATGCTCAGATAACTAATGTTTGCTGGACCTCAACTTTATAGTTTTAATATAGGCATCTGGTGCCATTAGAGATATCCTAGGAACCTCTAGGGAGAGGTAAGGCAGAGGTGACATAAGACCTACAGGAGACTCAAACCCTTTGGTAGTGGCAGCTGCAGGCACAGGGGTGCCCAAGGGTGTTTCAAACAGCATTTAACCAACTGTGAGCTGAGCCCTTTGGAAGGAGGAAGCATAAAAGGCTTTACATTGAGAGACATCCACATCTCCCACCAAATCCATCTGAAATTGTGAATGCTAACCACTGCTGAAAAACCAGGACAAATGAGAACATTTGTCACTTTACAAGTTGCAGCGTAATGCATTCCTTTCTCTGCATTCAAAACGTGTTGAAAGAATTGTTCTTTTGCCCAAAACTACTTCCTGAGGAAATAAAATAACAATTTCAGTTTTTAGGGCCCAACTTCACTCTTCTAAATTCATAACAGAAAAGCAATTAAGAGAATAGTGGGAAACTGTATCTCACAATAGCAAATGATCTCAGAAAACTTCTTTGCAGTATTTCATGATCATGCAGTTATTAAAAGAGTTGCTTTTCATATTACCTCAGCTGAATTTTAAAATTCCATGATTGCCAAAATTAATACTGTAACAAAACCGTGGATAATTAGCCTCTTGGGCCTCTGAGTTTTCAATTTATTGAATGTAATAACCAATTGGAAGTTCTTTGCAGAAGATCAGACAGAAAAAAAACTAATCCATAGAGGACATTGAGATACATACATATTAATGAGTTAAGTCGGTCATGAATTTTTCAATAAAATTATTTCACAGATAGTGTTTGTGGT